ATGGCCGCCGCAGGGGGCATGAATTTTGAGATACTCTCACAACGTCCAGTGCAATGTCGATTAAAATGCAATTCAGATTCCAAAATTCAAGTCGGTGTTGGTGTTGAGTATAAGCTTAAATTCATGCTGGTTGCGAGCATTCCCCCGAATACTCATGTTTCATTTCTAAACATTAAAAATTTATTCTCCGGCAGCTAAGTCACTGCTTACCGTGTTTTTTCGCGTTATTTCTCCCGTATTAGCATCGTCCATACATTCATGTTCGTTGCAAGCATCCTCCCTGATGCTTACGTGTTTTTTAATAATTTGAAAAAAAAATATCAACTTTACGATTCTAATAATTGAGCCTCAAATTAGTTACTTCCGTACAGTCCGCAACTCTTTCTTCTCTCATCGTCATTCGTAAAATTAGGTCTTAGAGGGTTTCCGCTCTTCAATTCAGAAATTAAACCTACCGATTGATTCGTCGTCATTATGTGGGTACATATGTTTTTTTTCTTTTTTATCATTACTTTTTTTCCTTTGTTAGGTCATTGCGTGTTCAAAAAATGACCTACAAGGGGAAGTCCATTCGGCCGCCTCATTTGGCTGCGCGCCAATGAGAAATTCTCGGATATGAACGCAGGGCGTGTTGCGGAGATGGCACGGATCACAGGCAGGCCGTGAGGCGATACGCCGGGAATCTCGGAATCCCCGGTCGCGGCGGAGGCGCACTGACCCCTGTCTCCTTACAAGCACGGCTGCGCTGCAGTTTCGCATATTTTTTCCAATTTTCAGTTCCTGCATTTTCAGTAAAAACATTGAATCATGTCGACCGTGCATCGTGTGTTACGGAAGGCGTGAAAACTATTAAAAATTCGCATTTTGCACTGACCAATGAGTGTAGAGCGGCGACCTCGCATCGGTGAGTCCGTGTGTCCGAATTGGGCACGTCTGCGCAAGCGCAATAGCGGCTCCAGTGAATTTTCGTCGGATACTGAGGCTTGTTTCTCGGTTGGTAGTTAATTCAGAAAAGGGACACTTAGCAATTCGGTTGTAAAATAATATGTTCTAAAACTCAAGTCCTTAAGAATTTTGTCTGAAAATGGACTCAAGACGAATTATGCGCGAAGAACCGAGCGCGCGAATGAATTCTTCATTGCTTCTCTGCAGTGTCTTCGAATGCTTGGGACAGGGGCTCTCTCCCCTTCCCCGCCCGCCCAACATTGAGCTTCAAGAAACTTGTCACGCTTAGCTAGTATAGAACCGAGCCGGATGCACGGTGTACGTTTCAATGTCTATGGTTTCGCACAATTTTGTTACAGCAAATAGAATCCGCCCGCTCTCCATGAGACAGAGAAATACGCCCCTTCCCTGTTGCTCCTGTAAAATTGATGCCGCTTTAGCATAAATGGTCTCAGAAAGTGCGAATCCCGACGAGGACGGTAAAAAATTATTCGTTAATTTGAAGAACCGTACTTTTTGTTGAAAATATACAAGGTGTACCAAAAGTCCGTCCCACCTCTGCTGACTTTTGAACGAATTGAGCTAGGGGAATGAAACGTTAAGAATGTTCCTATCTCTAAGGACCATCTTTGGGGGGGGGGGGTCAAAATTTTGGTCCCCACCTCAGGGGGAACGGGTGCCCCCACCTTTTTTTTTCCAAATGGCAACTCCTATCTTGTGATACCTCATTCGAAAGAGCATAAAAAACTAAGAATTCTTGCGCAAACCGCAGATCAATATCTTACTTTTTGACCGAGTTATGATAGATCAAAGGTCAAATTTGACCTATTTTCAAAAAATCATAACTCCGGTTCAAATTATCGTAAAGAAAATTAACCAAATTGTGTTCGCTTTTAAGTGAAAATTGCAGATATCACTTTGAACCAATGTGAAGGGGGGGTTCAGACCTCCAAATACGTCAATTCGAAGGTCATTCAATTTTCCCGCGAAATACGCAGATTTCCCTTAGATTTGCCTCCACATTATTTCAGTAAGATCAAAATCAGTCCAACAGTACGTTGGCAAATCCCCGAATTTCGGGAAAAGTTAAAAAAAAAAAAACGAAATTTAAATGGTCAAAGGAGGGGTATCGATAAGGGCCGATTTTGGCCCCACTTCAAAAAATCATCTGAACCCGTATTTTAAGTACCCTATGGTAGGTGCATTCTGACGCAAAATATTTCTGCGATTGTGCATCGTTTTCCTGCCAAAACAGCCGACTCAATTTTTCGGCTGAAAAATGGTTTTAATTTTGTGACGAGCCCAAAAAAGCTTTGTTTCATGAGTACGGGAGGTTCATATATGTAATTTTTTGCGTACTTTTCAATGAAACAGGCGAAAATTGTCTAAACCCACTTTTAAGGGGTCATTCTAGACATTTTCAACGATTTTTGGGGTTTTTTGGCAATTTTTCACCTATAACTAGAAAACGGATGATTATACAACAAAAACGATTGCAGATTCAAAAAGAGCGTAAAAAATCCGTTAGAAATCATTGGTTAGACATTTTCTCAGCTTAAACTGTCAACACGAAAAACAGCTCTAAACTTGAGAAAACCGAAGAAACTGCATTTTCCACGATTATTAGTCTTCATTTACACCCAGCACAATTTTGCCACATCACCAAAATTTAACAGATTAAAGTTACATACCAGTACATGAAACACGCCAAAAATTACGGTGTGGAAAAATTGTGCTCATAGTTAAAAATGTACTTTTGTTGAATGGAACCATCCTTGAATAAAAGATGAAAATTCTCTAACTCTCCGGGAAGATTCGCCAATCATTCATGGGATACCTGTATCCGGGTAATTTTTTGCGTACTTTCGATTGGAACGAGTGAAAATGGTGAAAAATCATGTTAAGTGGGCCATTCAGAGAATTTTTCAAGATTTTAGGGGGGTTTTGGGGTTTTTCTGTGGGGGGGGGTTAGGGGTTGTTGGGGGGCTTGGAGAGCATTTTTTGTTTGTAATACACCAAAAAAATAACAAATTCAGAAAGAACGCGAAAAATTCGATAGGATTCGATACTTGACACTCTCTCTCAGCTTGGACTGTCCACACGAAAAACGGTCTCAAACTCGAGAAACTGGAAAAAACGGCCTTTTCTCCAGCTCCCCAGTCATAATTTACATCCTGGTCACTTAACAGGTTAGATCGTTAAGCAGTATACAAGGTGTAACAACTAAGTGACGACAAACTTCCAGGGGTTGTTCCATGGCTCAAAACAAGCAGAAAAGTCCCGTACCAAAATCCTCTACGATGCGTGGTTCTCGAGTTTCGGGGAGTTCAATTTTTGAAAAAAATACCGCACGTGTTCAGATATGACGTCACAGTGGCTGTCCTAATTGTCGGAACCGAAAAAAATTGTGGTTTCGTAAAGTGATCATCAATAGCTTAACAAAAGGTATTTTCGTTTTTTTTTTCGTAAAACCCCTCTTAATGGAGAAAAACCCCCACACAGAAAAACCCCAAAACCCCCCTAAAATCTTGAAAAATTCTTTGAATGGCCCACTTAACATGATTTTTCACCATTTTCACTCGTTCCAATCGAAAGTACGCAAAAAATTACCCGGATACAGGTATCCCATGAATGATTGGCGAATCTTCCCGGAGAGTTAGAGAATTTTCATCTTTTATTCAAGGATGGTTCCATTCAACAAAAGTACATTTTTAACTATGAGCACAATTTTTCCACACCGTAATTTTTGGCGTGTTTCATGTACTGGTATGTAACTTTAATCTGTTAAATTTTGGTGATGTGGCAAAATTGTGCTGGGTGTAAATGAAGACTAATAATCGTGGAAAATGCAGTTTCTTCGGTTTTCTCAAGTTTAGAGCTGTTTTTCGTGTTGACAGTTTAAGCTGAGAAAATGTCTAACCAATGATTTCTAACGGATTTTTTACGCTCTTTTTGAATCTGCAATCGTTTTTGTTGTATAATCATCCGTTTTCTAGTTATAGGTGAAAAATTGCCAAAAAACCCCAAAAATCGTTGAAAATGTCTAGAATGACCCCTTAAAAGTGGGTTTAGACAATTTTCGCCTGTTCCATTGAAAAGTACGCAAAAAATTACGTAGATGAACCTCCCGTACTCATGAAACAAAGCTTTTTTGGGCTCGTCACAAAATTAAAACCATTTTTCAGCCGAAAAATTGAGTCGGCTGTTTTGGCAGGAAAACGATGCACAATCGCAAAAATATTTTGCGCCAGAATTCACCTACCCTAGGGTACTTAAAATATGGGTTCAGATGATTTTTTGAAGTGGGGCCAAAATCGGCCCTTATCGATACCCCTCCTTTTGAGGTTTACCATGGACAATCTTCAATTTTTTCCATAATCCAGCAAGTTGAGTTACAAGTTCGTTGACAAATTCCCGTCCATTATCTGAGTGTAAAATACAAGGGGCCCCAAAAGTTAAAAAGATATCTAATAACACCGGACCAACCGTGGCTGCTTTTTAAGATTCTAAAGGCTTCAAAACACACAACTTAGTCAGGTGGTCCCGGTAGTTTAACACTAATTTAAATCGACCATCTGCTTGTGATTGGTAGTCAATCAGGTCCACCTGACACCTACTATTCATCTGAGAGTTTCTGAGAGTACACTATGGGGTTGGACACAACGCCTCTTTGTTGGCGGAACTAGTTTTGCCAGACCTCATCAGTTTTGCCTGAACATCAGCAGGCAAAACTAGTTCCGCCTACGGTCGGCTAGTTTTGCCTACGCATATCAGGCAAAACAGGTTTTGACTAGGCATATCTAGTTTTGCCGGTTCATTTCTGGCAGAACTAGATTTGCCTAGGCAAAACTAGTTTTGCCTGGAATCGGGTTTTGCCGCTAACATAAATTTAAAAAAATCAAATGTTTTCCAATAAAAAAAAATGATTCAATTTTTCTTATTTTAAAAAAAAGTATGAGAAGTTCGTTCTAATTTCAATTCCTATGAAAAACTGAACCTGAGGTTCGTATTATCCGACCTTTCTTCCGGCATAAACAACTGTTCGTCAAACTCACCTCAAGCCGCTGTCTAAGTTGGAGATCATGCCGCGCGGCAAGTCTTTGTTGCTCCTCCTGAAAGTGCTGCAACAAAATCTGCTGTTGCATTTGATGATGCTCCTTCAGCTGAAACCAAAAACGACTTACGATACAACCGACACTCGTATTAAATCTAGAATTTTAGAAAACTTAAACAGGTTCGTCCTAAAACGCCGATTTCGGCCCCCATTTGATTTTGGTCCTAACTTTGCTCAAATGTCGTAACAGGTGTCCTCGATGGCTGGGCAAAGTTTCAGCTCCCTCGGATAGTTGAATCGACGTATGCGAAAACGTCCGATGTCCGAGACAGTGTTTCAGAATTTGAGTGAACAATTTCGTTGTAACTTTACGACCAAAGATGGTTTAAGACCTAAGGAATGTAGAACAATTTCATCAATAATCCCCTAAGTGTAATTAAACGTTTACAAAACAGATCGATCCTATTCGTCAGTGTCGTGGGACAGAGGAAACCCACCGCAATTATGAAACCCTGTATTGGACAACGGACGTTTTCGCATGCGTCGATTCAATCAGGGGGGAATGGGCAAAGGGGTAGAGTTGCCGTTTATGCAAAACTTTCAAAATCTACTTATATCTCCGAAACGGTTTAAGTGTGTGTGTGTTGCAGTTTGCGCTAATAATATTCCCACCAACATTATCTTTACTTTTTTGATCATTGCATAATTTGTCAAAATCATAATTCGATTTTCTCGATTTTGACGGTTCGATTTTTCTCCGTTTATCGTACCTCCTCTCAAGGCGATCGTTGCTATGTGAACAAAACCCAGTCAGGGGACTCTCCATGAAATGCTGCATCTACCACACTTCAGTTGACCTTGAGGAAATGATTTGTCCTTGTGATTTGTTGGAATGATTTTGTGATTGTTTTGTATGCTGAGGTCGAATTTGAACTTTACGTTGGAAAATTGTCCCTTAAAAGTTCCCACATCTTGCCAAAAAAATCCGATCTTCCGAAGTTTTTCGCACAATTTGGCAACTTCTGCAGCATATTAGATGTTCAGAACGCCCAGTTTACTAAGTTCATGCGTTTTTTTAGAGATGACATGCATGTAAGAAGGTACATTCTCGGAATTTAATTAACTTCGCCAAAGTTGTCAAGTTCTGCAAAAAGGGGGTAGAAATGTGCTTTTTGGCACGATTTGCAAACTTCACTGCGGAAATTTTAGAAAACGAAGCTTAAAATTGAATTCGACGACAAAAAGTATGATGGGTTCGATATACAAATTACCATTCATAATTGCTAGGGGCAAGATAGACTGGTTGTAATTTGGCTTAATAATTTCAGGCACATCGACGGTAATGCTACGGTCTGCAATTATCAAAGAAAAGTGATTGTTACGTGTGGCTGCTACGCAGCCCAACACTCAGAGGGCGGTTTACGCTCTCTTAGGCCTGCGTCGTCAAGAGAACGACCGAAAAAAAATGAAAAGATTTTCATACCCGACTCTCATTTTTTGTCCAATCTTCCTCTGGCCGGGAGCGATTGGACCGATAAGAATCGAATGAAAAAATCGGCATTTATTTCAAACTTCACGTCAAGACTGAAACAAAACGGAATGAAGGGAACGGAGCGTTTCGTCCATTTTGGATTGTCTGTAGCAAAGGAGCATACCTTCGATTCACTTACCCTACTAACGGACCAAGATTAAACATTCAGAACGGAGCGTTTCGTCCCCATAGGATAGTCTATAGCAAAGGAGCATACCTTCGATTCACTTACCCTACTAACAGACCAAGATTCAACATTTCCCGCTTAGTTCGACGGAGCACAGGGGAGAATTCCATGTGCGCTGCCGACCGTGCCGCGTCGTCCGCAGCGCGCATAGCGCACGACCTTCATTATTACGCTTTTTCTAGTGTTGAGTGATCACTATTTACTTCACAAAACAGCGTGTAATTTTAAAAGTCGGAAATTAAAAAATAAAAAACCATAACTATATTAATTTTCCAGGAAGTTGTCCATTTAGCAGAATTTCGCTAATTTATTTTGGAGCCGATGACCTAGCCTAACCTAGCCGCTAAGTCAGTATAAGTCGCTTATTTAGCAAAAAAAAACAAAAAAAAAAAAAAAAAAAGGGTTTAGTGACCTAGTAGGACCAAGAATCAGGATTCGGGGTTTACGAGGTCTGTTAGATTGGAAACCGGATTTTGGTGATAACTAGCCCACAATGCTTCCGAATTAGGTTTTCTTGAACTTTCCTGATAGCTGAAAATACACTTAAGAACGCTACGTTCACAAATTTGAAAAATCCTGATTAGCTTCGTTGGTGTGTGAATTGAAGTAAGGCAACTTCATGGGTGTTCTGCGATTTTTATGTTTGACCGAACTTGTCTCTGTTTTTTTGGTCTTGCACTACATTTTTCAATCCACAAGGATGATTGAAGTTTCGTCTCCATATCATAGCCGTACAGTCAAGTATTGTCACCGAAAATTATCCTATCCAAAAATGTATGATCGTTCTTAGAACGTTTAAGCAGCTAAAAGGAAATTGACATTCGGTTGGATTTTTGTTTGACGGACAACGATCAAGGGGCAAGAGTACCTGAAACTCGATGCATGTCTACATTCTGTCAAAATTGTATGTCCAGAACCTTCAGAAATATTACACTGGTCAGCAAGCTCGAAAGGACCATTTTCGAGCAATTCTGCCCGCACTTCTTCCACGTGACGAATGTCAGTTGCCGTTGATGGTCGATTCCCGTGCTCCTCATCTTCGATGAACTCCTGACCAATTTTGAATCGTTTAACCCACTCAAAATAGTGAGAACAACTCATGCAATGATCTTGGTAAACTTTACTTAGCATACCAAAAATTTCGGTACAGGTATACCGGGTTTAAAATAAAATTTAATGTTGAATCTTTGCTATATCAGTGATCGCATGACAAAAATCGCAGAACGCACCTGACTTACTCGTATTCATGATGAAACAGAATAAACACTGATCAGAATAAACAAAATCTGTGAACCTAGCGTTCTTCAGTATGTTATTAGCCATCACAAAAGTTCAAGGAAACCGAATTCGGACGCACACTGGGCTAGTTATCACCAAAATCCAGTTTTTTATCTAACAGACCTCGTATTAGGTCCACAAACATTTCGGAACCTTCGAACGTCGAACCCAGGACCACATACACCGCAGGCAAGCATCCTATACGCTCAGCTACCGGGGCTCGGTACAGGTTGAGGTGAAATTAGCAATGTATGACTTTCTCTACCTGAGAGCTCTCCCCCATGGAAATGGTACCACCACCCGCCCGCCGGGAGCGCTGCGGACAACCGCACATGAAATTCTCGCATTTGCTAAATCGCGTTTCGTTCAAGTTTCTGCTACATTTGAAATTCCCGCCATAATTCATGGGTGGGAATTTCAAATTTTGCCCCCTTCCTAAGCTCTCTAATCTACCCTAATATTAAAAAAACTTGGGTCCTATTTTCAAATTTTGATCACAGCGGACTCATCTAGGGACTATCAGCTATCAATAACCGCAAATATCATGGAAATCGGCCCAGTAGGATACTCAAACGGCCTGTGACAAAAAATAGAAATTTAAATTGTTTAAATGGGAAAATTGACAACTTTACCACGTAAGATCAAAAAACCTGGGTTATATTTTTAAAATCTGAAAGTAGCGGGCTCATCTAGGGACAGTTGTACGTCGATAGCCGCAAAAATAATAATCAGCCCGGTAGAACGCTGAGACTAAGCGTTGCCAGTCACGCAAAATTAGGAGGTCTCAAAAATAATAGTTAAAAAAAGAGGGGAAGATTACGTAGTTTTTAATGTAGAACCCGAATTTGAGGTATGTTTCGAAAATTGTTTTCTAAATTGCCAAATTGTGCGAAAACTTCTAATGATCGGATTTTTTGGCAAGATTTGGGAACTTTTAAGGGACAATTTTCCAACGTAAAGTTCAAATTCGACCTCAGCATACAAAACACATTTGAAATACTCTTCCTCAAAGTCAACTGAGGTCAAGGTCAACTAGTGATAGAGGCAGCATTTCATGGAAAGTCCCCTGACTGGGATTTGTGCACATAGCTACGATCGCCTCGAGAGGAGATACGATAAACGGAGAAAAGTCAAACCGTCAAAATCGAGAAAATCGAATTATGATTTTGACAAATTATGCAATCATCAAAAAAGTAAAGATAATCTTGGTGGGAATATTTTTAGCGTAAACCGCAACACACACACGCACACGCACACACACACATACACACCCTGACACATACATACATACATACATACATACATACATATGTATATGACAGAAAATGAATGACATATATATTCGTGATCTACGACTCAAGATCGGTGCTCTTTACACGGTCCCCGGTCTAGGCCCCACCATGAGGGAGAACGCAATAGTGTATCTTTCCTTCGGAAAATACACTAAAACCGAGGTAGCAATTTTCGGCCACTTTGAAAATTTCGGTTTTTTTGAAAATCTAACGTCAAATTCGTTTTACTCGTGTCAAAATAATTTTAGTTACCGAGTTTCGTGAAAATCCATTGACAAATAACCTGTGTGAATTTTCGGCCGTTTTGAACTTTAACCGGCCGCCATTTTGTACCGGTTTGAGATATTGACTTCACGTTTGCGCGAAAACTTTTTTTTTTTTTTATGCTCTTTCGAACGAGCTATCACAAAAGGGGTCTTTCCATTTGAAAATTAAAAGTTGGGGTCCGTCGCCCCCCCCCCCCAAAGGAGGCCCCCCTGAAAATTTTAGGGGGGCCAAAAAGTAGCTCTTTTTGACCTAGGGACATCCCCCAAGTTTCAAATCTTTACCTCAATTAGGTAAAAAGTTAGAGGGGGTGGAAGGGACTTTTGGATCACCCTATAATATATATCTTCGTGACACAAAATAATTTTGACACAATATCATGCAATATTTGAAGAATCATAAAAAATAGACCGAAAAAGGAAAGCTTAGCATGTTATATACCATTTTAATCAGCAAAGCAAGCTGTTAAAGAATATAATATAAAACCAAAATGTCATTGTATTTATTTTCGGTGCACAGTCTCACCTTAAGGTAGAGATTTACCGGAAGATGGCATC